AAAAGCTTATCTACCCGTATGGGAAGAAAGTGGGGCTTTTCTAACTTCGGGCCACCACAAACAACCTTTAATTAAACATGACCATTAAATTACAAATCACTTAACTGCAAGATATAATCTTTGCTCTTTAAAAAAAAATGTTGGGGCATTCATTCAAATGACTCGAAGAATTCATCCAGCTTTTGCAGCTTAATTCTAGGAGAAATAAAAATTAATTCTCTAAGATAAATCGTCAAAGTTAACAACTTTCATTCCAAGCCAGCTTTTTTAAGGGTGGAAAACTTGCTGTACCCTACGTCAACGACTTTGCTTTAAATTTAAGAGAGAGATGGAAGGCGCTTCTGCATTTCTTTCGGTGTGATCAGTACATAGCAATACCATCCACAGGAGTCTGACTGCTTATTTCGCTGTGGAAACAAAGGCGCCAAAAACCTAGTGTCCTGCATCATTAGGTCAAACTATTGTTCATATCGAGACACTTTTTTAGAAAGAAAGGTAACGCACGTAACTGAAGAAAGGGGAGGGAGCAGGCCATTTGAAAAACTGATCTGAAATATTCATTACGTTTGAACAGCGACTGACTCCGAAAAATGGCCAGTGATCCTCCAAAACATCAGTAAGGTTACTTTCTTACAATAACCAGAAAATAAAAAAATTTCGATTTTCTAGCTAGACGGCTTGAAGCTATCGGGCGTAATGACCTACGCGACAACGCGTGGTGTCCCTGATTTAGAAAAATCCCGTTCCTAAGAATGACTAGTTTACTCCATACAAGAAGAAAAATCAGAGCTTGATAAGTAAGAATGATGAGGAGTAGCAACATTGCCTTCTTTCACAGCAGCAAGTGAAAAATTAAACTTCTAAAATAAGAAAGAGATTTTCAAACGGGTTCCGACAGCAATTTATGATGTATGGGAGTTTCCATTTCCAAATTCACCCCACGATTCGCTGTAGCGCAAAACACTTGAGTTGGGCGAATTCCAACACTTCGCTACTGTGCACATTACTTCCTCAGAAAAGATTAACTATGAGGAAGCTGAAGTTTTCGCTACGGTTCTTTTGTACATTTCTTTCGCATATTCTGCGGAACATGCGACTTCTGTGCTTGAATTAAATTTTCGAATGCAAGTAGAACAATTCTTTGTAAAGTTATAAACAAATCGTGCGCTATCCAGGTTCCTTTTGCGTAATACGTAGATCTGTTCCAGGAGCTTGTTCCTACACCTCTGCAAGGTCGTAGGAGGTGCCACTAAAATAGCTTAGGAAATGCGCTATCGTAGGTACTAATCCCATTAAGGAATGACGCGCCTTTTTTAATTGAAAATACAGGTGGAAAGAACCGACCTGTGGCCTTTTTACAGAATGTATACAATTTATGATTGATTTTTTGTTTTGCTCTTGTTTGTTCCTTAACAATATGCATAAAATCAGGTAGTACGAAACATGCGCTCAAAATCAAATGTTCATCGCTGGCCTGCTGATACCTTCACGATCCGCTGGAAGCAACTGCTGAAGCTTGGCAAGCGTAATAATAACAAAGATTAAGATACTAATTTTTATTTAATATTTCTGCATAACACTAAGAAAACGCATTTCCTGAACTATTTTATTAGCACCTCCACACCCACGATAGACACAGAGTCGTTGTGGGAGTGAGCTCCCAAGGTTCAGGTACCACGCAAAAACAACCTGGGTGGTTCACTAAGTGTCCTATAATTTTACGACAGACCGTGTCGCGTTTTCAAAAATACAAATTAAGCGCGAAACCTCACGTGCTGCAAAATATTCAAAAGAAATAGGCGAAAGATTTCCAGGGAAAATTTTAGCTTCCTCAAAGTTAACTTTATCTGGAGAAGCAATATGCAAAATGGCGAAGTGTTGGAATTCAACTCAAGCGTTTTCCGCTACAGCAAATCGCGGGGTTAATTTGGAAATGAAAACGTCGATACAGCACATGTTAGAAGTTTTTTTCTTTTAGCAAGCCTCTTGAAACAAACAATTTAACTATTCCTGATGGATAAGTGATACGCACTGTATCGTAAATGAATGTCCGAACAATTTAAATACGACTTTAGATATATAATGATGTGAGAACAAGATATCCCAATGCTAATCTTTTCCAAAAAAGTACTTGATTCACGGATTGCGCAATCTAATTTGTCTTCATTCTCTGTTAAATTAGAACTAGTAATTCCCCCTTTGAATTATTTTGATTTCTATTTAAATATTTGTATTAACGCTAGACTGCACGCCTTTAGTGTTGCTTTTGCAAAAATTTGCTTTGAAAAGCTTATTTTCTGAGTACAGTGCTTCTAAAGGTGCATCGTGATAGTTTCAGGCAGCCAAGATTAATTTATCAAATACCACACTTTTATTCCTTTCGCCACCTGCATCCGTTTAGTAAAAATACTGCTTTTTCAAGTGCCTTATCTAGTAACGCAAAGCATTCAAAAATTTCTGCCAAAGTTTCTTTCTGAAGTGACTTTTAAGACACAAGCAATCGAAAGAAATTGAATAGTCACTAGATTGTATGAAAGTAGAGAACTGAGAGCAACATCAAAAACCCACACATTTGAAAATCTCAAATAAAATATTTGAAAATCACTATTACAGCTATTGGAATAAAAATATGCAAAGGAATCATTTTTTTACTTCAAAGAAAGGCGTATAACGCTATTCGCAAAATCAACCACAAAAAGAAAATAAGGAAACGAGGCATCTATTCCGATGAGTGAACAAAACCAGTAGGCTACTTTAGTAGGGATGCAACTCTTCACTACCGGATATAACTGAATGAAGCATATCATACATCCCTATAGGCTAATAACGATGTAAATTTGAGACAGATCTAGTAAATGTCGCCGCTGCAGTTTAGCGCACTAAATCGCAACTTACTTTTGCTCACTATTAACTTTCCTTCGGTCCTCGTGTGCAGCATTTTCAACTCCGCTTGATTCGTACGTTCATAAGTAATGTTTTAAAACTAGTTTTAAAATTTCTTTCTAATATTCTAATAATAAATTTCGTTTTAACTCTTACGGCTTCCCATGCCGTTACTTCTTAGACTGTGCGCGGAGTAATGAATATTCGTTACGTCGCACAACATTTCAGCTGCGTACAAAAAAAAAAAAAAAA